AAATCTAGCCAGAGCCTAAGGTCACCTCAAGGTTCCTTCTTATCTTTTGGTTCAGTTGGCCTTTTTTTCCCCTACCAATTTTATTGAGGATACAGTAGAAGATTTCTTGCACTTTTATTTGGTGCTCTCAACATGATCTTGTGACCTATGTGGATACTGTGGGCAAAGCCCTCAGGAACCCACTCTTGTCAATGTCTTGGGAAGCTCAAGCGTTAGCTTCTATGTCTTTATTTAGTTTTTAATTTTTAGTTTTTTAATTTTTTGCAGACTTGCTTATCTTGTGAGTTCAATGCACGCATGTATATGTAATTTTAAAAATTATAGCTTACCCAGTATATCTATGTGTTTTGCAGTTTTTTTTTTTTTTTTTTTGGCTGGAGTGCAGTGGTGCAATCTCGGCTCACTGCAACCTCCACCTCTCGGGTTCAAGCGATTCTCCTGCCTCAGCCTCCTGAGTAGCTGGGATTACAGTCACACACCACCACACCTGGCTAATTTTTGTATTTTTAGTAGAGACGGGGTTTCACCGTGTTGGTCAGGCTAGTCTCAAACTCCTGACCTCATGATCCACCTGCCTCAGCCTCTGAAAGTGCTGGGATTACAGGCATGAGCCACCACACACGCAGAAACCTAAGGACCAAGTGAAAGGCAATACTTTAGGCTTCAAAATTTAGCCAGGGTGGTGCTTAGAATGAATGGGTAGGGAGTTTAGGTAGAATTGGTGATAAGATAGAGAGGATACCCAGGGTATTCAAACAAAGGATAAGTAGAAAGCAATATGAGATCATAGAAAAGTTAGACATTAGGGCAAAGAAGCCCAGAAGAGAAAGAAAATTCTATGTAAACAGAAATGAACAGAAGCACAGGACAAGTCAAAGAATATTAAAGTTGAAATGGAATTAGAAAATATTAAGTTCTTCCAATTCTGTCATTTTACAGTGGGGGATTAGTGCTTCTAGTAAGTGGTCCATCTAGGAGTTTTCATAGCTCTCAGACTAGGACCTTTTTTTTGCTGTTGTAGTGGGGAGAGGGTGGAGGATTTAGGCTAGCCACAGGAACTATGCTTGGAGCCCAGAATGAAGGAGTGAATCACTTCAATAAGAGTTGAGGAGGAAATGAAAGAACTTGTAAGAGTCACGTGGTTGTGGGGGGCTTGCGGGGTTTCTGTAATGGGGAAGTAGGCAGAGGGCAAGGTTTCTGCTGGAGAGGAAGGGGATGACAGAACTGTGTAGGGTGGGAACATGACACCAGAGTTCTGAGGAAACCTCTCTCTCTCTCTGTCTCTCTCTCTCGGGGTGCAAAATCACCCACTAGAGTGGTCTTAGGGAAGTGACAGGCAGGAAGAGCCCAGGCAAAGGCAAACACAACAACATCTGTGGTCTAAGCGAAAGGACAAGAAAAGGGAAGTTGGGGAAGGACAGGAAGAGCACAGGGCTCCCTCGGGAGAGCCCAGCCCAGCCCCTCTGCTCAAGTGGGGTTCTAATCACAGGGCGTCCCACCCACTTCAGGTTATTCTTTTAGGGTTTTGTATGTTCAGAGAGCTTAATAACCACTTACTCCTCTCCCCATTGCATTTTATATCAATTTCAGATTCTTGCATGTATATTTACAAGTATTTGCCAGTATGAACAGTCTGCCAGTTTCCCTTCTTACACTACCTCCACCCTTCCTTTTTAGGGATTGATGCGCATAAACACTTGTGTATAAAATTGTCATGCCTAGGAGTCTGGATTATGTTTCATAAAAGCAATTGGAATATTTTAGGCTGGTAGACGTTCTCAGGATCACATTTCCCGTGGCAGCTCTGGGGCAGAGCGCTGCATGGACATGGAGGGGTATGGACTGTGACAGACAGGCAGGGACTGTGGCTGTGATCTCTGTCCCACACGATGAAAGCAGGACTACATAACAGTCAGGTCAGAGAGGAAAAACCAGATGGAGGGAGAGAAATGACATGGGGACTGTGCGAAGCAAAGGAGAGGGAAGTTTCCGGAGAACTCACATTTCTAGGTGTTTATTTGAATGGGTATTGCCATGAAGGGGTGAGGGTGTTACTCACTCTTCTAGGTACCCTGAGGGGGAATTTCCCCTAAATACTTTTTGTTTTTTTTCCTCACCCCTTAACGTTTCCTCTGAAAACAGACTGATTTATCTCACTGATCAATTCAGGAGGGAAACTGGGCAAGCATACATCAGCACCTCCTCCTACCCTTTACCTCTGTGGGCAAGTTGCTCCCCAGAGGCTCAGTCTCGCTCTCCTCCTCCAGGCCCTAGCTCTCACGGGAAGAGCTGCTCAGGTGGGGAGCTTAGGGTTTATCAGCATTGCCTGAACTAAGTGAGTGTATTAGTCTTCTTGGGCTGCCCTAACCCAAGGCAATAAGCTGGGTGGCTTAAACACCAGAAAGTTATCTTCTCACATCTCTAGAAGCTAGAAGCTCAAAATCTCCATCTGGAAGATCTCCATCAGTTTCTAGTGAAGGCTCTCTTCCCGGTTTATACAGACAACTGCCTTCTCACTATGAGCTCATATGGCTTTTCCATGGTGGGTGCACACACACACACACACACACACACACACACACACACAGAGAGAGAGAGAGAGAGAGAGAGAGAGAAGGAAAGTGGAAGGGCACTCCAGTGTCTTTTCTTATAAAGACACTAAGCCTACTGGATCAGGGCCTTACCCTTTAGACATGAGATTGACATTACTTCGTAAAGGCCCCATTTCCAACTGTAATCACACTGAGAGTTAGGGCTTCAACATGTGATTTTTTTTTCCCTTGGGAGGGTGCACAAACTTTCAGTCCACAACAATGAGGAGGCCACTCCATTTAGGGTCCAGTATGAGCTAGATCACTTGGATTACACACTTAAAGCAAATTATCTAATGGCACTATCAGAAGTCAAGATTGACCATTAGATCCATCTATCTCATGTTATTTTCAACTTGTTTGCTTCTGAATTCAAGAGGGCAAAAAGGATGATACTTACTGGGTTTTATAATATTATCCAGTATAGCTAGGTTATGTTGTAGTTATAAATAAACTTTAGAAATTGGAGGCTTAACACAACGAAATTTATTTCTAATGTAGTTAAACTGCATGTAGATCAGGCTGCTTTTCTCCGTCTCATAGCCTTGCCATTTAGAAATTTGACCGCCAAGCTGGTACTGCAGGGTAAGATGATCAGATGTGATATTTTCAGTGGTCAGGACTGGAGCTGGCTAATGCTTCCAGCACCACACATTCCATTGCCCAGAAGTCAATCCAAGACCTTAACCCAACTCTTAGGAAATACGAGGGTTGCCTCTTTCCTGTAGGACCATGTAAAAAAATGTGAATAAACACGTAGTGTGGTATCTGCTATTGTTTTCTAAAACCACAAACCAAGCATTTGCCATTAACAGCACAAGATGGACAAAGATAACACCTGGTGCTTATGAATGATTTGGGTAGGGCTTGAACTGGGTATTGCTCTCAGATATTGTAGCTCATAGAAATTGCCACATATCTGTGGCCATCAGAGGAAGAGCTCATTGAGAATGACTTCCAGCCTCACTGTTAACACTGACAAACCTAAGTAAGAAATAGTGTATATATCAAAGTACCATGTTGTACACAGTAAATATGTAGAATAAAAATAAATTTAAAACAGAAACAATGTTACAAATGGGATTTTTCTTTCTTGACTTTCAGGGCTCAAAAGATCCTCCTGCCTCTGCCTCCCATGTAGCTGGGACTATAGGCATGTGCCACCACATTTGGCTAACTTTGTTGCCCATGCTAGTCTCAAACTCCTGGGCTCAAGTGATCTTCCCACCTTGGCCTCCCAAAGTGCTGGGATTATAGGCATGAGTCACTGTGCCCAGCACAAATTCATGCCCAGATTTGAAGTGACTGCTCCAATGCATTCAGTGAATAATTAATACGATTTAAGAAACACTATAATAATAAATGTATTTCTTGGATCTCAAAAAGACTTTGTGTTCATGTATTTACATATATTAACCAGCTAGGGTCACTGATAAGTCACTGAATACTTCATATAAACTACTTAAATCAAACATTGACAAATGCTGCCCTTTTTATGCAATGTATTTTGAACAGATCTCAAAACAACTCAAATTTGGATTTTTATGGTCTCCTCATGTATGAGTTCTCCTGAAAAGCTGCGTGTTCTGACTATCACAATCCTATACAATTCCACACTGTACAGAATTTTCAGTCCTTAGCTGAAATGCATGCTGTTCTTCCGGGACTTCAAATTATGGACTTCCCAGGGGGTTAGCCAGTCAAAATGCTTCTCTAGAGAATATAGTTCTAAGTAGATTTGTATTGGGATTCTATACATTGAAATTAAAATCACAATGCATTTTAATTTTTTGTTTAAACATCTTCTGCAGTTTAAAACTCTTTGATAGAAGAGATTACATTGTTAATCTCTGTGTGTTTACATGCCTAGTAAGACACTGGTACCAACCATGTACTGTGTAATTTTTTAGTGAATGACTATACAGATTAAATGCAGTAGAAGGGCTTCTTTATATTTGTTATGGTTCTATTCATTCTGAATGGCTGCAATTTAATCTCTAAGGATAATGTAGAGTAGACTGTAGCTTATACAATTGTGCAGGGAAATCCAGGAAGATGTAAAAAACAAAGTCTCCAATTTATAAAAGAATCAGTGAGAATGAGGAAATAAGAAAGATGGATGAAAGGGGTGAAACTGGAAAGAGAAAACTTTGAGGACATTCAAAAGGGGGAAAGAAAGAGTGGAGTGATGAGAAGAGGGGACACTATGGAGAGTGGAGGCAAATTTAAGTGGAGAAACTGGAAGAATTGTGATCTATTAAAACAAGCAGGAACCAGAAAAAATGATGTGGTTTCTCCTTTTTATCTTACAAATGGCATGCAAAAATCCAGAAGGACGAAGTGACTTTTCAATGCCGCACACCACTTTGTCTAAGGCAGTTGAGGAAGGGAAGTAGATATGTTGGAGCTTAGTGGCAGAGCAGCTGGAATCCTGAGAGAAGAGAGTAACTTTAGATCAGGGCAGGTGGGGAAATGAGAGATTGAGTAGGAGGCCCAAGGTTGAGGGAAGCAGATCTTCTTAGTTGCTATCAGTGGCTGATGGGGAAGATCGTTGGTATAAGGAAGTCAGAATATAGATACAGAAGGATAAGTTTGCTAAGAACAGAGATCAGCAAACAACTTTTCTGAGAGAAAGAAACATCTGCAAATGACATGCTGTTTCTGCAGTTTCTGTTGCTAGCTGTTCTCAGTGGTGGTGACAACGCAGACGGTAAGAACATCACTGTTAGCCGCAAGGTTACATGTATCTGGGTAGAGTGTGGTGTGCTTTCCCAAGATGGATCAGTGGAGATGCCAGAATGCTTGCCATCTGAGCATACCTGTCTCCAGGTCCAGTTTACTCTTTTGGAGGATGGTGGCAGAGCATGGGCTCTGTGTAAGGAAAATGTTATAGTAGTGCTAAAGTAGTCATTAACATTTTTCTGTGGTAACTGGTTCACTTTCCATTTCCTCTCCATTTTCCTTTAAAACAAGCAGGGCCCAGGAAAATTATGTGGTTTCTCCTTTTTGTGTTACAAACAACAAGTAAAGTCTAGAGGGATGAAGCAACCTTTCAATGCCACACACCACTTTGTCTAAGACAGTTGACGAAGAGAAGTAGATATGTTGGAGCTTAGTGCGAGAGCAGCTAAAATCCTGAGAGAAGAGAGTAACTTTAGTTCAGAGCAGGTGGGGAAATGAGAGATTGAGTAGGAGGCCAAAGGTTGAGCGAAGCAGATCTTCTTAGTTGCTATCAGTGGCTGGTGGGGAAGATTGTCTGTTGGTAGAAGGAAGTCAGAATACAGATACAGAGGAATAAGTTTGCTAAGAGCAGCAACAACTTTTCTGAGAGAAAGAAACATCTGCAAAGGACATGCTGTTTCTGTAGTTTCCGCTGCTAGCTGTTCTCCCAGGTGGTGACAATGCAGGTAGTATGAACATCTCTGTCAGCTGCAAGGTTACATGTATCTGGGTAGAGTGTGGTGGGCTTTCCCAACATGGATCAATGAAGATGTCAGAATGCTTGCCATCTGAGCATACCTGTCTCCAGGTCTAGTTTACTCTTTCAGAGGATGGTGGCAGAGCATGGGGCTCTGTGTAAGGAAAATGTTATAGCTAAAGTAGTCATTAATATTTCTCTGTGGTAACTGGTTTACCTTGCATTTCATATCCATTTTCCTTGCCTCTCTCTCTTTTTTTTTTCCTTACACTACTTGCCCTCCTTCCACCAAAAGCAGCCCAGGAACACGTCTCATTCTATATTATCCAGATCTTATCATTTGCCAACCAATCCTGGGCACAAAGTCAGGGTTCAGGATGGCTGGATGAGTTGCAGACTCATGGCTGGGAGAGTGAATCAGGCAGAATAATTTTCCTGCACACCTGGTCCAAGAGCAACTTCAGCAACGAAGAGTTGTCAGACCTAGAGTTGTTATTTCGTGTCTACTTCTTTGGATTAACTCGGGAGATTCAAGACCATGCCAGTCAAGATTACTCAAAATGTAAGTTCAATCAACTAAATTATGGGAGTTCTTTAGAATGTTCTATTTATGGGAAATATTCTCCACTAATTTCTGGGCCATTTCCCATTATCCCATCCTACCATAAAATTCTGCATACATGAACCTTTTAAAGGGTATTTCTGATGTTGACTCCCTCAAATTTCCTAGGCTCTTGCTATTTTTGGAATTTTTTTTTTCTTGTGCTTTGTTATCTTCCCCCTGTGGTCTCCCTCTGTATCCTACAATCCAGAGGCACACAGCTGTCCCACTCTGTGCTTGACTTTTAAAATAAAATCTATTCCCCCATTCAATTTCTTCAAAGATCTATGTCCACAGTTCAACGACCATTATGACCAATTTCATGCATCACGGAATGCTATCCTCCCACCTCCCTCACACAGGCTCCCACTTCACCCTCTATCCTATATTATGTGGCTCACCTATCATTTTTCTACATCTTCCTCAGCCACTTTTTCTTGTTAATTCAAGGCATTTATCTCTTATTGTCCCCCTTCCCTATCCCCAGCAATTTTTCTCTCTTGTTTCTAATTAAATATGTCTTTGGCTTACTCTCACATCCACATAAAGCTTTTTTGCAGGTTTTTATACTGTTGTTTTCACTTTTTTGTTTGAAGTCTTTTTCTCATTCTTCCCTTCCTCCAGATCCCTTTGAAGTACAGGTGAAAGCAGGCTGTGAACTGCATTCTGGAAAGAGCCCAGAAGGCTTCTTTCGGGTAGCTTTCAACGGATTAGATTTACTGAGTTTCCAAAATACAACATGGGTGCCATCTCCAGATGGCGGGAGTTTGGCTCCAGGTGTCTGTCATCTACTCAATCATCAGTATGAAGGCGTCACAGAAACAGTGTATAATCTCATAAGAAGCACTTGCCCCCGATTTCTGTTGGGTCTCCTGGATGCAGGGAAGATGTATCTGCACAGGCAAGGTCAGTAGTTTCAGCCCCTTCCTCTAAGATTTTTCTATTCAAGTCCTGCCCCTTCTGTTCCCACCCTTCAAACTCAGGACAAGAAAGAGGACAAGAAGCAGAGGGGTTGCTGGGTAATCATTTCTTAGAGGCAAGAAAAAGATAACTGTGCATATTCATGTGAATGTGTGCATGTGGATGTAAGCTATAAGTTTCTTCATCAGAATACTTTTTCCACTGTCTGCAGTGAGGCCAGAGGCCTGGCTGTCCAGTCGCCGCAGCCTTGGATCTGGCCGTCTGTTGCTGGTTTGTCATGCCTCCGGCTTCTACCCAAAGCCTGTTCGGGTGACATGGATGCGGAATGAACAGGAGCAACTGGGCACTAAACACGGTGATGTTCTTCCTAATGCTGATGGGACATGGTATCTTCAGGTGATCTTGGAGGTGGCATCTGAGGAGACTGCTGGCCTGTCTTGTCGAGTGAGACACAGCAGTCTAGGAGGCCAGGACATCATCCTCTACTGGGGTAAGATTGGAGGTTGGAAGTGTAGGTAGGTGATTCTTGAGCCCAGAGGGTAGGGGAGAGGAAATTTTGAGGATGGCAGACCTAGATGAGGGGTTGTAGGAAGAAATGTAGAGAGTAATTTAAAGAACAGTGGAGTAAGACCTGAGGGATATATGGATATTAGAGATTTAAGGGGAAATGAGGAATCCCTCCTTGAGTACGTTTGGGAATAGAGTGACTGAAATAGGAAAACTGATGCAACTCATCCAATGCACATGTTAAGTAAGGAAATCAATAGATGGAGTAGAATCAACAGTGAGTTTAAAATGGCATCCATGTATCTTTCCAATATGTGCAGGACACCACTTTTCCATGAATTGGATTGCCTTGATAGTGCTGGTGTCCTTGGTGATTCTAATAGTCCTTGTGTTACGGTTTAAGAAGCACTGGTGAGTTTTTTGTATTTCCTCCTCTCCTCCCAGTTTCTTATTTCACATTCTATTTTTAACTCTCTTAGCTTTTCTCTGTTGACTACTCCACCTTATCCTCAGTCACCACCTCCAACTTATTCAGGGTTTCTCCCATTCCTGTTCCTTCACAGCTCATATCAAGACATCCTGTGAGACTCTTCCCCCGACTCCACCATTGTAATAAGAACCCAGCAACCCAGGAGCCTAGTACAACATAGTGATGCCATCCCGTCGACTCTCCATTTAAATGGTTTCTCTTTCTGCCTGATAAACATTTTTTAATATAAATCAAATTATAATTTAGAATGGTTTTCTTGGAATGTCCACTTTTTTAAATAGCATTCAACCTTCAAAGCCCATTTCTAAGGTCATTTCCTCCAGCGATCTTTCTTGACCCATAATGAACCAAGAGAGCCCCTCAACTGCTATGTGCATGCAATACTTCCTACCCTGTGTTGCAGCTACTTGGGTCTTTCACTTCACATTTTTAAGCTTTTTGGAGGCAAGGATCATGATAAATGTGCCTTTCCTGCATATGATGTGCTCAGTGAAACACAAAACAAAACACCACATCTAAGTTGGATTAACTGTCATCTTGGCAATTTTTCTCATTATATTCCTTCCCAATGCTGTTGTAGCATTTGAAATACTTATGCTTCTCTTTTTGTTTAAATGCTTCACACCTAGCAGATAAGTTCCACTCTCCTTTAGCTCCCTCATTTTCTCCTTAAACATTTAAGGAAAAGTGCAGCCTTGTGCCTGGATACACTTATTTTCTAAACACAGAGAATTACAAATGCAAATAGAAAGACAGAGAGTGCAAGTTATGTGTGATGATTAGTGGTTTGCAGTTACGTCACAGAATACTTAAGAAAGAGGAACAAGAGACTTGGTCCTCAGGGTTGGAGTGGGATCAAGGCAACTGTTGTGCTGTATATGCAAGACAAATTTCCTAAAGCACTGTGCTATCGGAGATAGCCTTGGCTAAACTTTAGTCTCTTTACGTTTCATTCACTAATTCAACTAATATTTTTTGGGTACTGAGTTGAGACAGGCACATACAGCTTCTAAACTGGTGGCAGATAAAACAAATGAGATTGTGTCCGCTCTCCTGAAGTTGCAGTGTTTGCTTCCTCAATCTGAACATGTTTCTTTTTTATTGTTTTCATTTTTTTATTTCTTTCAACAATTTTAAATATATTTTATTGATGTATAATTTATAGTAAAATTTGAGTCTTTAAGTATACAGTTCCATTTATTTTGATAATTACATAAGCCCATGTAAACAAAATCACAATTAAGATATTAAATGTCATAACCCCTCATACCTGTTTGTAGTCAAGCATACCACCAACCTGGCATTCTTGCAACTACTGATACACTTTATGTCACTTAAGCTTAAACTTGTATTTTCTATGATTTTATTAAGATAGAAATAAACATACCTACTTGGTATTGGCTTTTTTTCTTCAATTTAGCATATGGTTGTAAGTAATCCATGCTGCTCAGTGTACTAGTAACCATTCTTTCTATTGCTGCATAGAATTCCACATAAGGATATTTTTGGAGGAGGAGGTGCCTTCCCAGATCTGGCAGGGCCTTTGTCTCCTTGTGCCCACTCACCCAGCTTGGGTCCTGCTTCCATTGCTCATTTCCTTGGCTCCAGGAGACCCTAGGTGACTCTGCTGCACCCTTAGTCACCTTGTGACCTACAGATACTGAGAGATCAATAGAGAGGATGCTAGGACACCCAGGAAACTGGGATATAAAGCCAAAAGTATATAAAATTAAACTTAGTTTTGAGAGAAGAGACAAGATGGATGACTAGATGCAGCCAGGAAGAGCTTCTCCCACCAAGAGACAAGATCATCAAGAAGAACAGTATACTCTGAGAAGATCATTGGAAAGAAGGCATTGAGAGTGGATAAGGGAGAATGCAGACCCTGGGCTGAAGAGGGGAAGAAGCTGCGAACCCTATACAGGGTTGCCAAACACTAGGACTTGTTCCTGGTCCTCAGTGGCTTCTAGGGAAGGGGTTAGTTAAATAGGCATGAAGTGGTCCACTCTAACCATGAACCTCTGGATTCCTAACTGCAGGAGACCCCCATGACCCACACAGACATTTGAGTTGGCAGGGAGAGCTACTTGCAGAGTTGGCAGGGACAGGACTCCAGCTTCTGTGGAACCCAGAGGGTTTGGTGTGAGAACAGCTACAGTGGAGCATGGTTAGGGATGTCCATTCCCCAAGGCTTGCCATATTCCTCTAGGTGGCTTTGACCCCTTTGTTGACTATCAGACCTGGACAGAACAGGGCTACCATGCTATTTGAATGGGGCTAGACTGATCTAAGTCCCCCAAAACTCCCATGTCTGCTGGCCTCTCCCAGTATCCCTGCCTGTCTGTACCTGCTTGCAGCACAGCCTCAGATGCTCAACTGAGGCAGTTCTCAGAGACCACTGCCATAGGTCTTTCACTGGCTGACCCTGCCAGACCACCAGAGAGCTTCTGCCACTGGCCTCTCATCAGCACGCACCTGCTTTCAGCACCCGCAACTGCTTTGCTGGCATGCACACATAGACATCACTGCCTTGCTACCACTTCTGTGCACACATACATGGAGATCTCATCACTGATGCCCTGTCCCCACTAGCCCACATGCATGCATGTACCCTGCCACACTACCATCCCTGGCGTACATGTGCATGGACCTTGCCACCTTGCTGCCTCACCACCACCAGCATGTGCGTGAGTGTGGACCCCAACATGCCACTGCCCCACTGCTGCCAGTACATGCATGTGAGAACAGATCCCCACTGCCACTGCTCTTATGAAATACTTTTGCTGGGACCCCCCTGCCCCGTTCCACCATAGGAGTGTTGTTGCTAGTGGACTGGGAACACCTTGGACCCTCCAGTGAAGCAGGTGCTCAGTCTCAAGGGGCCAAAGAACAAGGTTCTGGGCCTGGTCCCAGGCCCTCAGGCTTAGAGCACATAGCCCAGGAGTGCTGAGCTGAGCCATGGTCCCCTGAATTGTCAAGAAATAAAGCTAGCTCACTGAACCAAACTTATACCATAGTCAAACCCTCAAGGGCATCAAAGAATATAAAAGCCTAAAGCCCCATTAAAAGGACAACAACTGTAAAGGTTAAAGGAACATCAGCCCACATAGATGAGAAAGAACCAGTGGAAGAACTCAGACAGCTCTAAAAGTCAGAGTGTCTTCTTACTTCCAAATGAACACACTAGCTCCCCAACAATCATTCCTAACCAGACTGAAATGGCTGAGATAATAAACATAGATTTTAGAATCTCGACGGCAATGAAAATCATGAGATTCAGGAGAAAGTTGAAATGGAATCTAAAGAATTTAAGGAATCTGGTAAAATAATACAATAACTGAAAGACAAAATAGCCACATTAAGAAAGAACTAAACTGATTTGATGGAGCTAAAATTTCACTAAATAATTTTATAATACAATTGGAAGTACTAAAGGCAGAATAGACCACACTGAAGGAAGAATCTCAGAGCTTAAAGACCAGTTCTTCTAATTAACTCAGTCACACAAATAAAGAAAAAATAATACAGAAGGATAAACAAAATTTCAGAGAAATATGACATTACGTAAAGAGACCAAACATATACTCACTGATGTCCCTGAAAGACAGAGAGAGAGAGAGTGTGTGCAAACAATTGAAAACGTATTTGAGGATATTGTCCATGACAATTTTCTCAACTTCACTATAGAGGTCAACATTCAAATTCCAGAAATTCAGAGAACTCCTTAGAGATACTATACTAGACAACCATCCCCAATTACACATAATAATCAGATTATCCAAGGTCAATGTGAAAGAAAAAAATACTAAAGGCAACCAGAGAGGAGGAGTAGGTCACCTACAAAGGGACCCCAATCAAGCTAACAGCATATCTTTCAGCAGAAACCTTAGAAGCCAGAAGACATTGAAGGTCTATATTCAGCATCCTTAAAGAAAAGAAATTCTGACCCAAAATGTAATATCCAGCCCAAATAAGATTTATATGTGAAAGAGAAATAAAATTCTTTTCAGCCAAGCAAATGCTAAGGAAATTTATTACCACCAGACCTGCCTTACAAGAAATCATTAAAGGAGTGCTAAACATGGAAATAAAAAGACCCTTACCAGCCACCACATAAATGCACTTAAGTAAACAGACCAGTGACACTATAAAGGAACTGCACAATCAAGTCTACACAGCAACTAGCTAACAACGATGACAAAATCAGCTTCTCACTTATCAGTATTTACCTTGAAGGTAAATGAGCTAAACACCCCACTTACAAGGCACAGAGTGGCAAGTTGGATAAAGAAACAAGACCTGGCCTCATGCCTGTAACCCTAACACTTTGAGGCTAAGGCAGGTAGATTGCTTGATCCTATGAGTTTGAGACCAACCTAGGCAACATGGCAAAACCCTATCTCTACACACACACACACACAAATACAAGAAAATTAGCTAAGAATGGTGGCACATGCCTGTAGTCCCAGCTACTTAGGAGGCTGAGGTAGGAGGATCACCTGAGCCTGGGGAAGTGGAGGCTGCAGTAAGTCGTGATCATGCCACTGCACTTCAGCCTAAGTGACAGAGCAAGATCCTCTCTCAAAAAAATAAAAAAATAGGCCGGGCGCAGTGGCTCACGCCTGTAATCCCAGCACTTTGGGAGGCCCAGACGGGTGGATCACGAGGTCTGGAGATCCAGACCATCCTGGCTAACATGGTGAAACCTCGCCTCTACTAAAAATACAAAAAAAGAAAAGAAAAAGAAAAACAACAACAACAACAACAACAAAAAAAAACACCTAGCCGGGCGTAGTGGCGGGCGCCTGTAGTCTCAGCTACTCCGGAGGCTGAGGCAGGAGAATGGCGTGAACCCGGGAGGCGGAGCTTGCAGTGAGCCGA